AAAAAATAAATAAATAAAAACAAAAGAAAATTTCGAAAATATTTATTCTTGATAAAACATCACATTTTTATAGTATTTTATCATTCATCAATTAGTTTTTCCAAAAAATAACTTATTATTAATTTAGTGTGTTGGAACGAAAGTTTGTATGCATTTTTGGGGTAAACATCGTTATAGTCTTTCGAATGATATATTTTCTGAATTAAAATAGTTTTGTTAGATAAATAAGTAAATATAACGCATTTATGTTACGAGTTACACATGTATGAAATGAAATAGTACGAAATAATTTTTGTATTTCAGAGAAAACGAAAATGAGGGTGCGCTAGCAGGGAGTATGGGACCGCCGGGATGGGCATGCGCACAGACCCACGGGGCAAGTCTCGTCCGCTGACCACCGTTTCGGTACCACTACTCGTCACATATACTGTTGTTGCCTTTTTAGCCTTCTTATTCTTGCAGACAGGTAAAATATTAAGTAATTCATTTGAATAATTTAATTAAAAAAATAATCTTTGTTGAGCGTTTCCAAAACAAAAGTGTTGAAATAATTCGTTTTTGTGCAGGCTTCTGTACCCAAACCCAAGATGGTTACATCCACATTACAGCCATTTTGGGTGAGTCGGTGGTTTTCAACTGCCACGTGGAATTCCCGGACGGACACCCTGTGCCGTATGTGTTGCAATGGCAGAAGAAGGTAGGCGAAACGGTAGGATTTCAACCAGTCTGCTCTCTTACTGTGGTGGCCAACGGGGAGGTCTTAGTACCAGGGTTTGACCCTTGAAGAAACATTACTAAGAAACTACTAATCTTTAAATCTTCTTATTTCACACTTTAAACTATTTCATACAACAAACACTTGACACTACTTGACATTTTTAAGGTGGTGGTTTCAAGTAATGGATCTTCATACTATAGACAGGTCATATTTACAGTTGAATTGACGGCATGATTGGTAAATTGTAAATATGCTTGGAGATTAAATTAATTATCTACATCAGAGATTAGAAATTATTTTTTATTTGGGGGTGTTAAAAGTGTTTAAACCACAAATCACCTCTTTTCATTCAATTGGTTTAGTTTGATTGTGATTGGCCATAGTGAAGTAATTACTTCTAATGGGATAAGGAGAGCAGATAATATTATATTCATCTTCATTACATCATTGTATTCATGGATCTTGTTATGTGTCTTAACAGATGTGCAACAAAGATACATGAACTTTTTGTTTCATCGTCATCAATCTTGTGATTTGATAATATATTTATGTATTGTACAGAAATTATAGTTACGTTTTGCACATTTTTAACATAATTCACTGGGAAAAATCTGTTCTCACTCACTCTACTAACAATCACAAGACTAGTTTATTTACAATGGAACTGGTATTTAATGCTTTCTTCTCTTCAATATTTTGAAACTTTCGTCGGTTATACAAATAATTGCCAGTTCTGTTTGCTCTTTTTTTAGTTTGCTAAAAGTAGTGTGTGTTCTTGTATCTGTCTCTCTTGATCTCTATTAGTAGCATTCTTGTTTCCTGTTTGTCTCTTTTTAGGTTCCTTCTTAGTACAAAAATATTTAACACCAAAAGAATAGTTTTTAATGTTTTTATGCGTGGCATGGGTGGTTTTGGTCTAACATTGCATGATAATAATGCCAGGTTAAAGGAATTTTCTCTAAAACAAATTTAAAAACACTTCGCTCAACTGGTATTTTTTGAGCAGTTTGATAATTTGATAATAAGTTGTAAATTATAAGCACATCATTTGTTGTATAGTCTACAACTCTATGATTGACATTTGAAAATTCGTTTTAACCTAGCCTTAAGCTTTTACTTGTATGTATTTTTAACATTTTTCGTTTTTAAGATCAATAATGTTTGAGGAACGACTTCAGCGGTAAATATCTCTTTAATAAACGTTGCTACTTTTATTATTTTTTACTTAGCTGTTGAAGTCTTCTCAAGCATTTCTCTTTTGGTGATAACTTGATTGAGCTTTTTTAAAGGGACAGGATATACCAATATACATTTGGTACGAAAGCTATCCAACTCACAGCGCGGAAGGTTATAAAGGAAGAGTGTCAAGAGTATCACCGGACTCTCCTTACGGAGCTGCATCACTCAACTTGACAAATATTCGCGAGTCGGATCAAGGCTGGTAAGTGTGAATATTTTCCATTTTGTATTAAAAATTGATCGTCGATGTAGATTTTCGAGTTTAGTTATCTATTCTTTTTTTGATTTCCCAACTCAAAAAAAATGCCGGAGCACAGAACCTACATATTTTTAAAGGAATGACGAAAGCACCCTATTTTACCTGGATTTCGTCTACACCCCCAAAAATTCTAAATTTTATGTTTTTAATTTCGTTTAAAGGTTTGCACCCTACTTCATCCTGTTAAATGATGCTTTTTGAAAAGTGCCTGATTAGTGAACCTCTTCACTCTCTAAGGGAAATGTTTTTTGAATTACGTGTTTCTTTCTTCATTTACTTTACATCCCATTTCAGATCCTTAGAAATAAATTTTAGAAAAAACCTTTCTCAGCAAACCTCTACACCCTCTAAGGGATATATCTCCAAAATTGTATGTTTCTATCTTCGTTTAAAAGTGCAAACTTCATTTCACTCCCTTAGAAACTCATTTTATATTTATTAAGGAACAGATCTTCCACATTTTATGTTCCTATCTTTGTTTAAACTTTTACACCCCATTTCACCATGATTTTCGAAAAATACTTTCTTAGCGGATCTCCAAACTTCGAGTTTGTATTAAAAATTCATCGTCTACGTAGATTTTCGATATAAACTTTAGTTAATTTCAAAGAGGGAAAGTGAAGCTAGTTTATCTATTCTTTCTTTGATTTACCAACTCAAAAAATGCCGTAGCAGAGAACCGATTTTTAAAAGAATGATGAAAGCACCCTATTTCACCCCGTTAAAGGTGCCTTTTCGAAAATTGCCTTTTTAGTGGACTTTGTCTAATTTCGTCTAAGTGTTTTGCACCATATTTCATCCGTTAAAGGTTGATTTTTGAAAAGTGCGAATTAGTGAACTTCACTCTTTAAGTGAAATGTTTTTCCAAATTTCGTGTTTCTATCTTCATTTAAACCTTTATATCCCTTAGAAACAGAAAGTCTAAGGAATAAATCTCCCATTTTATGTTTCTATCTTCGTTTAACGTGCACACCTCGTTTCAACCTCTAAGAAACTTATTTTATGTTTTATATTTATTAAGAAACATATCTTTCACATTTTATGTTTCTATCTTTGTTTAAACTTTTACACCCCATTTCACCAACTTAGAGACTGATTTTCGAAAAATTCTTCCTTAGCGGACCTATAAACTTCGTGTTTGTAGATGGATATCAATGGCGATTTTTTATACAAACTTTTATTCCTTGTTTAACCTGTTTGGGGGTAGAATTTCCAAAAATCCTGAAATTTACGTTTCTTCATTTTAACCGAAAACCCCAGTACCAATTTTCATACATATTACTTCAGTAATGTCGGATTTTCATACAAATTTTAACAACTTATTTAACCCCCTTTGGAATTGATTTTCCAAAAATTCTTCCTTAGTTCTACCTACGTTATAAGAAGTATCTACTGTGAAAATTTCTAGTTTTTATCCCCAGCGGTTTAGGATGTGCGTTGATAGGTCAGTCAGGCAGGAAAATTTTTTATACAGGGTGTGTCAGAACTCGTGCGCTAGAGAAAATTTTCAAATAAGATAAGATACCAGGAACATGGAAAAAATGTTTAAAAAATTCTATGTCAAAAACTTTTGACATTTATTACTTGACATTTCACATTTTTTTATGTCTCTTTATTGATACTGATGATCTTGTATATGTTTTTTTTTTTAATTATTTGGTAAAGGTACAAAAATTTTTCCAATAAAAGCCACATATACATTTTCCTCTGAGGCGGGAGTTCTGGCGCACTCTGTATGTATACAGGCTGTTTCAAATAAAATTGGCACCCTTTAAAATCCCCGATTTTGTCCAAGTTTACAAAAAATTCTGACACTTTAAGGGGGCCCAAAGTTTCAAAGTTATTTCTGCAAACCTCTAACTCCCAGAACCACTCCATCAAAAAATTTACATAGCAAAAGGGGTCGAGTGACATATCATTTTGAAGTTGCTTTCATTTTCTATGCAACCATGTTTTTTTTTCAATTTTGAATGATTTTTTTTTAAATTAGGTACTGTGAGAGGAAACAAAAGTGGTTGTGAAATAGTTATTTTTGTTACAAGTACCTAAAATACAGTTTTTGCGGACGAATCGTTGCATAGCAGATGACTCCACAAAAATGTTTTAGGTACATACTTACGTGTTATTACAAACAACATTTTTTTTGTTAAAGCTCTCAAAAAACGAATTCACACCTCTTATTAATTAATAAATTTCGCCACCACAGTAACCAAATTGACTTTTTCGTCTGGAAAACTGTTTTTGGGGACTGAGTACTTAAAATAACCATTTTACGTACTATTTTATTGAGTCCGGAAAAAAACTTATTTTAGGGACTTAAATGAGTCCCTAAAACAACTATTTTCGGGAGCGTAAACAAAAAGAAATTTTTGGTACGTGTTACAAACAACATTTTTTATTCAAGCTTTTGAAAACACAATTTTAAAACTCACTTATTATTAAATATTTCTAAAAAATAGTGAATTTTGGATTTGAATTATCATTTACCAACTACATTGTTTTTTTGTTCTCAAAAACTGCGCCCAAAATTTATAATATATAATATAATTATAATATATAATATAATATAATTTTATACGGGTTTTTAAATTGAAAATGTTCAATATTTGGAGGTTTAAACTAAAAACAATTAACAAACCGGGCTTATTTAACACATCCCATATTCTGTCTGTTTTGTTTCAAAGCACTACTTTTTAAGGGAAATGTCGATCAAAGTCAAGGGTCGGCGATATCAGACAGATAAATACTTAATTTTACGAATACACTTCTGGGTTGCAATCCAGACGATTTTTTATAAATAAAAGATCTGTAAATGATAAATGCCAGTGTTTTTTTAGGGAGTTAAAAAAATCATCAATCAACCTATGGATTGTCGTAAAAATTCAGAGCATTGTGACTGGCCCGTTTGAAATCGGTTATCATAATTATGTAAAAAAAAAACACTTTATTTGGATGTGATTGGTTCAATTAAATTCGGCTCTATCACAATAATATGAAAAACCAATAATTTAAAGTTTGGATGAATTCAAAAATCTAATGCAATTGGTTGATTCTTATTTAAGAGATTCATTCAATGAAGTTATACCAATTTTTTTCTGAAAATTACAAAATTGATTAACAAAGACGTTTTGGGTGATAAAATCAGAGAGAAGTTCATTTTTTCGCATCTACTTTAGTTACTAGGTATTATTATTACAGATTTCATGTATCAACAACAAATTCGTTTTGTACTTGAGTCTATATTTTACACTATTTTCTACTACTTAAATGGGGAAAAAGTAACAAAAATAACATTACCCAACAATTTTTTTTTTAATGTGATTGATCTATTGACACGTGTATCAGGGTACATTAACATCCCTAATTACGAATTTGATAAGAAAAATTCTCCATCATGTGCAGATTTTAAGTTACAGGAAAATAGTTTTCTCAAATTTTAACGTAAAAATTCTTTATTTCAAATAGAAATTAATTAAATAGACGACGAAAGAAATTAATTTATTCACTAAACAAGAACAATGTTGAAAGATGTATAAGATTCTAACATAAATCTGTTGTAGATGAGTTTTTTGCAAAAGCTGACTTTCTTTTGTAGGGTGTTTTAACTTCCCTTATCAGGAACCAGCAGTAATCCCCCATCATAGCTAGATCCATCTCCCTTGGTACCTCTTTTCCATCGTCAATATATCCTGGTGGAACCTTTCCCCTTGCTCGTCACTAACGGCACCCAAATTTGGGGGAAAAAATTTAAATGAGAATGAAGAAAAATTTTAAGTGTTCCGTTTTTCGGCGATTTTGTACATATGATATCTTAAAATGCCTAACTTTAAAATTTGACGTGCTATGGAATTTTCTTTATCATTTTTGAGTTTAGCACCTAGAATTGAACAAAAAATAACTGTTTTCTTCTCAGTCACAAAATGCTTGTTGGCTAGTATAATTAATGTAACAAAATTATACAGGATTGTAGTTGAAGTTTGTCATTTCTTAGGTATGAGTGCAAGGTGGTGTTCCTCAACCGGTCCCCGAACTCGCACAAAAATGGTACTTGGTTCCACCTCGACGTTCACGCACCTCCCCGTTTCACGGACACCCCTTCCGATGTCATCTATGTCAACTTGGGAGATGCCATCATCCTCACTTGTACAGCCGAAGGCACACCTACACCCGAAATTCTTTGGTATAAAGATGCTAATCCTGTAGATCCTTCAGCCACCATAGGTAAGTTTCCCCAAAACCAAAATCTCTAAATTTGTAAAATAAAAATCTCAGGTATTTTCAACGATGGAACGGAACTGCGAATCTCCAACATACGCCATGAAGACATCGGAGACTACACGTGCATTGCGCGGAATGGCGAAGGTCAAATTTCCCATACGGCGAGGGTTATAATCGCTGGAAGCGCCGTCATCATGGTTCCTCCAACGAATCAAACGAAATTAGAAGGGGAAAAAGTGCATTTTACTTGCGAAGCGAAGGCTCAACCTGGCAACGTCACCGTTAAGTGGTTTCGTGAAGGCGCCCCAGTTAAAGAACTTGCTTCGTTGGAGACGAGAGTCAACATTCGGAGGGATGGTTCGCTTGTTATTAACCCCGTTAATTCGGACGATTCCGGACAATATCTGTGTGAAGTCAGTAATGGTATTGGGGAACCCCAATCAGCGTCAGCATATCTCAACGTCGAATGTGAGTCTCATTTACTTATTTTGTGGATTTATAAATTACGAAACGAGACGAAACGAGATACAAAATCGCTCGATTTTTGGACCCAAAAAATGAGGGTGCTATGAGCGTTTTACCGTCTCCGTTTCAAATCGTTTTAAATTAATTTAAAAACCAGTTTACTAATTGCTTGGAAAAAAATTCAAAAAAGTTGAGCTGTATATTCTTAATAAGCCGATAAACGAACGACTAATTTTTTTACGAGAAATATGAGCAAAAAATATTTACAATTTTAAATTTTACAAAACCACCACAAGTATTAAATTCATCGATAATTTTTTCCATGCCCTTTTTAGAGCAATGGGTTTCTCACGAAATTCAAATATGTCGTTGAAACCTATTCGTTCATTAACGAAAAAGAAAAATTAGAGAATAAGGGTCTTAATGCATCTTCTTAGTTGTCTATTTCGTGAATATGAGTGATTGTTTCGATCACTCTTTAAATGTGAAAACAAAAATAACAAAAAAACCTTACGTGATGGAGAACTTTGGTAATCATTTTTAGATTTTCTGAACAAAATTACATAGGTATTTTTATCAAAGTTAGAAAAAAAAAATTGAAAAAATGTCGCCTAGTGAATTGTTTATAATACAGGGTGTCCCAGCGAGTTGAAAAAGTCCATTTATGACCTTTAAATGATAAAATAAAAAAAAATATATTGGACATTGATAGATACTAATCTAGTCTATCGCCTAAAATTATTTTCTATCCAGCGTGTCCCAAAAATAAGTACAATAAAAACTTGTGTTTTTTAAAATGGAACACTATAATTTTCTTAGCGTTTTTGGTTGTAGATTTTTATGACAATGTTTTTAAGTTAAACTTTTATTGGTCTATTTTGCTTAGTTTTAAAAATGAGACGGTTTCTTTGACGAAAACATGCACTTTTTAAAAATTTATTACACAAAAACTAAGACATCTAGAAATATTTTTTTTACTATCACAAAGAAGAAGGTCCAAGTTATAAGGTTGTAACATTTTTTAGTGTGTTGCATTTGCAAAGATAAAAAATGAAGGCGTTTGTTAAAAGTTCAATAACTTAAAAAATTTAAATGGAACAACCTATTTATTGTTTTTGCATTTAAATATTATTAAATGGTCTTTCTAAAATTATGTACTTTTAGGTGTTTATAAGCAATAACTAAAAAGATATTTAATGTTAAACATTAAAAAAATAATTACTATTTTTTCAGTAGCCAAAAAGTGCACAGTTGCACAAGAGATGGAAGAAATATCACTGTGTTAAACTGAATCCATTATTCTTTATGTTTACAATAAAATAATTTGAATTTCAGTTTTTATAACGACTTTTACAATCTCTGGATAAATCGACGTATAAGTGAATGTTAAAAATCTTTTCATTTATCAATTCTAGACATTAAGTTATTTAACTTTTAACAAACTTCTTAATTTAATAATCTTTGCAAATGCAAAACACCAAAAAATTGCTACAGCTTTAAATTCTGTACTTTCTTCTTCGCAGAAGTAAAAAAAAATTTGTTCTAGCTGTCTTAGTTTTTGTGTAATAAATTTTTAAAAAGTGCATGTTTTCGTCAAACAAACGTCCTATTTCTAAAACTAAGCGAAATCGACTAACAAAAGTTTAGCGTAAAAACATTGTCTTAAAAGGCTACATCCAAAAATGCAAACAAACATATGGTGTTTTATTTAAAAAAAAACACAAGTTTGTATCTTAACTTATTTTTGAGACATGCTGTATGGTTGCAAATTTTAGGTGATGCACGAGATTAGTGTCTATCTATGTCCTATACTTTTTAATTTTACCATTTAAAGGTAGTCCACTAATGGACTTTTTCAACTCGCGAGTTCTGACACACCCTGCATAGTTTTCAATAAAATTTTTGCATTTTATTATTGAGAATTTAATGCTCTATTTTATGTATTTAAATACAGCCATTTTTTTTATTTCAACTGCGCTATCTGGCCTCACCAACGGAAGTATCGTTAATAAAATTTAAATGAAAGATTTTATTAAATTTTTTTAAAATTAAAATATACAATATTTTTGTATTGAATTCTTTTTACGAAAAGTAAATAAATTTTTTCTTAATTTTTTTTATTGCTGTCGTATTTGACTTAGAACTTGATGAATAATTTATTTTTAAACATAAAAATTTTGTGAATTAACAAAAAGGTTAAAAAAATAATATTTGTAGTAGATAGAGCAGATTCTTGTATGTAAAATCTTTCTTAAAAAATGTTACAACCATACAGCTTGTACCTTGTTCTTTGCAGTAGAAAAAAAATATTTCTAAATG